GTGTAGTCCTGGTGTAGTCCTGGTCCAGTCCTGGTCCAGTCCTGGTCCAGTCCTGGTGTAGTCCTGGTGTAGTCCTGGTGTAGTCCTGGTGTAGTCCTGATGTAGTCCTGGTTCAGTCCTGGTCAGTCCTGGTCCAGTCCTGGTTCAGTCCTGGTCCAGTCCTGGTTCAGTCCTGGTCCAGTCCCGGTCCAGACCTGTAGATCTGCTCCTGGCCTTTGGGGGCGCTGTAAAAGTCTGTGCTGTAAAATGGGGTCACGTGATGCAGACAAGCTCCGCCCACAACAGGAAGCTCCTCCCCCGATGGCTCCGCCTCCAACGAGAACCTCTGGAAATCAGGAACCAGTCCCGACGAGTCGAGTCCGAGTCGAGTCCCGACGAGTCGAGTCCCGACGAGTCGAGTCCCGACGAGTCGAGTCCCGACGAGTCGAGTCCCGACGAGTCGAGCTGCCAGACCTGAGGAGTAGAGGGTCAGAGGTCAGAGGGTCAGAGGTCAGAGGGTCAAAGGTCAGAGGGGTCAGAGGGTCAGAGGGACTCACAGGGGGGTCACATGGTTTGATTGAGCGAATCGGAACAACACGATGAGACGAATCGATCCACAACAGGAAATCTGAAAGAACCAGAGAAAGACCTGGTTCAGTTCTGGTTTAGTCCTGGTTTAGTTCTGGTTTAGTCCTGGTTTAGTCCTGGTTTAGTTCTGGTTAGTCCTGGTTTAGTTCTGGTGTAGTCCTGGTTTAGTTCTGGTGTAGTCCTGGTTTAGTTCTGGTTTAGTCCTGGTTTAGTCCTGTTTAGTCCTGGTGTAGTCCTGGTTAGTTCTGGTTTAGTCCTGTTTAGTTCTGGTTTAGTCCTGGTTTAGTTCTGGTTTAGTCCTGGTTTAGTCCTGGTGTAGTCCTGGTGTAGTCCTGGTGTAGTCCTGGTTTAGTTCTGGTTTAGTTCTGGTTTAGTACTGGTGTAGTCCTGGTTTAGACCTGGTTTAGACCTGGTTTAGTTCTGGTTTAGTCCTGGTTTAGTCCTGGTTTAGTCCTGGTGTAGTCCTGGTTTAGTCCTGGTTTAGTCCTGGTTTAGTCTGGTTTAGACCTGGTTTAGTCCTGGTTTTAGTCCTGGTTTAGTCCTGGTTTAGTCCTGGTTTAGTCCTGGTTTAGTACTGGTGTAGTCCTGGTTTAGACCTGGTTTAGTCCTGGTTTAGTCCTGGTTTAGTCCTGGTTTAGACCTGGTTTAGTCCTGGTTTAGTCCTGGTTTAGTCCTGGTTTAGTCCTGGTTTAGTCCTGGTTTAGACCTGGTTTAGTCCTGGTTTAGTCCTGGTTTAGTACCTGTGTAATATCCCGGGGGGAGGATCTGGTTTTGTTTGTAGTTCTTTTCTCCGATGAGCTGACGCAGAGACTCGCCCACCAAACCCTTATAACTGCAACACAAACCAGACCAGGACTCAGACCGAGACCAGGACTCAGACCGAGACCAGGACTCAGACCGAGACCAGTCCGGGGTTGAAGGCCGACCACGGCAAACGTAAGGATTTCAAAACTAAATATTAAAACACTAAAAGCCCAGTGTTCAGTGGTCAGGGCGTGGTCAGTCCTGGTCCTGGTCTCGGTCTCACCTGTACTTGCGGTTGGCCTCGTCTGCGGTCAGTCCTGGTCCTGGTCTCGGTCTCACCTGTACTTGCGGTTGGCCTCGTCGGCGGTCAGTCCTGGTCTTGGTCCTGGTCTCGGTCTCGGTCTCACCTGTACTTGCGGTTGGCCTCGTCGGCGGTCAGTCCTGGTCTTGGTCCTGGTCTCGGTCTCACCTGTACTTGCGGTTGGCCTCGTCGGCGGTCAGTCCTGGTCTTGGTCCTGGTCTCGGTCTCACCTGTACTTGCGGTTGGCCTCGTCGGCGGTCAGGGCGTGGTCAAACATCAGGACTTTGTGGGCGGGGCTTAGGCGAGGTCCTCTGTAGTCCTCAAACTCCAGGTCCACGGCCGAGTCCAGGAGAGACAGATACCGACGCACGATCCCCACGTACGGACTATCTGAGGACCACACCGGGGTTAGACCAGACCCAGACCTGGTCATGGTATAATCCCAGTCCTGGTACAGTCTCGGTCCAGTCTTGGTCCAGTCCCAGCCTCGTCCTGGATTAGTCCTGGTTCACTCTCGATCCTGGTCTCAGTCCTGGTCCTGGTCTTCTGGTCTCGGTCCTGGTCCTGGTCCTGGTCTCGGTCCTGGTCGGTCCTGGTCTCCGGTTCGGTCTCGGTCTGGTCTCGGTCCTGGTCTCAGTCCTGGTCTCGGTCTCGGTCTCGGTCCTGGTCTCGGTCCTGGTCTCGGTCCTGGTCTCGGTCCTGGTCTCGGTCCTGGTCTCGGTCGGTCTGGTCTCGGTCTGGTCTCGGTCCTGGTCTCGGTCTCGGTCTCGGTCTCGGTCCTGGTCTGGTCTCAGTCTCGGTCTCGGTCCTGGTCTCAGTCCTGGTCCTGGTCTCAGTCTCAGTCTCGGTCTCGGTCCTGGTCTCAGTCCTGGTCTCAGTCTCGGTCTCGGTCTCGGTCCTCGGTCCTGGTCTCAGTCTCGGTCTCGTCTCGGTCCTCGGTCCTGGTCTTGGTCTCAGTCTCGGTCTCGTCCTGGTCTCAGTCCTGGTCCTGGTCTCCGGTCCTGGTCTCAGTCTGGTCTCGGTCCTGGTCTCGGTCCTGGTCTCGGTCCTCGGTCATGTTTTCGGTCATGTTTGTGTTTGTGTTTGATCATGTTATTGGTCCTGGTCTCGGTCCTGGTCTCGGTCCTGGTCTCGGTCCTGGTCTCGGTCCTGGTCTCGGTCCTGGTCTTACTGTGGAGGCCGTGGGTGAAGCTGGGGCAGAAGACGTGTCAGTCCTGGTCATGTTTTCGGTCATGTTTGTGTTTGTGTTTGATCATGTTATTGGTCCTGGTCTCGGTCCTGGTCTCGGGTCTCGGTCCTGGTCTCGGTCCTGGTCTTACTGTGGAGGCCGTGGGTGAAGCTGGGGCAGAAGACGTGCTGGAGGAGGCGCTGGGGGCAGTGGTGGAGCTGGAGCAGAGACATGAGGATGTTGACCGTGGCCAGAGGAGAACTCAGAGCTTTAGACTCTAGAACTTTCTCCAGACGCTGGAACAGCTCCAGCGCCCTCTGCGGGCGATAGTTCATCCGACTCAACGGGAACACCAGCCTCTGGATCACCTGCGCACACCGGGACACACCGGGTCACACCAGGTCACACAGGTCAACACCAGGTCAACACCAGGTCACACAGGTCACACCGGGTCAACATCAGGTCACACAGGTCACACCGGGTCAACACCAGGTCACACAGGTCACACCGGGTCAACATCAGGTCACACAGGTCACACCGGGTCACAGGGAGGGAGGGCATCCGTGTCAGTGCCAAACATACAACACATGCACCTGTCTCTCTCCTGCACCTGCACCTGTCTGTCCGTGTAGTGACAGTGGTCGGGGTCAGAGGTCAGAGGTCTGGGGGGGTGTTACCTTGATGTCCAGTAGCTCCGCCCTCTTGAGCAGGTACTCGGCGACGGTCTCCAGGAGGCGTGTCTCTCGGAGTCGGTGTCGTGCGGCGTATTTGGCGATGAGCGACATCGTGTTCGGACTCAGAGCGTCGGCTTTGAACGGCAGCTCCTCTGCACACGGCACACGACACACGGCACGTGACACACGGCACACGACACATGACACACACGACAGGACAGGGTCACGCTCTGCTCCTGTCACCGCTCCTGTCTGTCTCTGCTCCTGTCACTGTCTCTGCTCCTGTCACTGTCTCTGCTCCTGTCACTGTCTCTGCTGTCACTGTCACTGTTCCTGTCACTGTCTCTGCTCCTGTCTGTCTCTGCTCCTGTCACTGTCTCTGCTCCTGTCACTGTCTCTGCTCCTGTCACTGTCTCTGCTCCTGTCACTGTCACTGTTCCTGTCACTGCTCCTGTCACTGTCACTGTCACTGCTCCTGTCACTGCTCCTGCTCCTGTCTCTGCTCCTGTCACTGTCACTCTGTCCTGTCACTGTCTGCTCCTGTCACTGTCACTGCTCCTGTCACTGTCACTGCTCCTGTCACTGTCACTGCTCCTGTCACTGTCTCTGCTCCTGTCACTGTCACTGCTCCTGTCTGTCTGCTCCTGTCACTGTCTCTGCTCCTGTCACTGTCTCTGCTCCTGTCACTGTCTCTGCTCACTGTCACTGCTCCTGTCACTGCTCCTGTCACTGCTCCTGTCACTGCTCCTGTCACTGTCAGCGCGTCTCACCTGCCAGGCTCCTGTCAGCGCGTCTCACCTGCCAGGCGGGCGATGAAGCGCTCCTGTCGGCTCTGGTGGAACAGGTGGGAGCTGAAGATGAGCTCGAGGCTGCGGTTACTCGCCTCGGCCGCACACGCCGCCAACATCTCGTCCAACAGCGCCATCTCCTGGTCCCGCACGGCGCTGACGCACGACAGGGTGTGTTTGACCACACGCAGGATCTTCCTACAACACAACACACCTGGTCTAGACCTGGGTCAGACCTGGGTCAGACCTGGTTTAGTCCTTGTTTAGTCCTGGTTTAGTCCTGGTTTAGACCTGGTTTAGGCCTGGTTTAGACCTGGTTTAGACCTGGTTTAGTCCTGGTTTAGTCCTGGTTCAGTCCTGGTTCAGACCTGGTTTAGTTCTGGTTTAGTCCTGGTTTAGACCTGTTTGTGAGCAGTAGTTCTGGATTGGCTGCTGCTGTGGGCGTGTCCTTGGTGCTGCGCTCTGATTGGCTGTGCAGTTCTCTCCAGCGCCCCCTGTAGTAGGCGAGCAGCAGGAACAGCGTCTGCGGGTGACGCTCTCGCTCCAGACTCCGCTCCAGACCCGAGAGACACGCCTCGGTGAGAGCCACGCCCGGGGGAGGAGCCACACGCGGAGGGGGAGGAGCCACAGGCGAGGGAGGAGGAGCCACGAGCAGAGGGGGAGGAGCCACAGCTGAAGGGGGAGGAGCCACGGGCGAGGGAGGAGGAGTCACGGTTGGAGGAGGAGGAGACACAGCTGAGGGAGGAGGAGTCACGGTCGGAGGAGGAGGAGTCACAGCTGAGGGAGGAGCCGCGGGCGAGGAAGGAGCTACGCTGAGGGGAGGAGCCACGCTCAAGGAAGGAGCCGCATCTGGGGGAGGAGGAGCCGCATCTGGGGGAGGAGCCATGTCCAAAGGAGGAGGAGCCACACTTGGGGGAGGAGGAGCCGTGTCTAGGGGAGGAGCTGCACCCGGGGGAGGAGCCTCGTGCTGGGCTGGGGGAGGAGTCTCGGGGCCCTGCTCCACCGCACACGCCTGAAACACATGACATCACTGTCAGAGTGTCACCTGCCACAGGTGAGCCACAGGTGAGCCGCAGGTGAGCCACAGGTGAGCCGCAGGTGAGCCACAGGTGAGCCACAGGTGAGCCGCAGTTGAGCCACAGGTGAGCCACAGGTGGGTCACAGGTGAGACATCATCACGCTTCTGTCACTAACCTCCTTCAGGGGCTCTGACAGGTGCTGTGACAGGTGCGGCTGCGGCAGGTGCAGGTGGGGCCGGTGGTGCAGTCTCATGACGGAGCTGAACACCATGGACAGGTCCTTCTGATTAAAGTGAGACACACGACGCTCACACTCGTCCTCCAGAGACACGACGAGAGACGAGTCCGGACTGAGACCTGAGGACACAAGGACACAAGGACACGAGAAGGTGAGGACACAAGAACACAAGGAGGTGAGGACACAAGGAAACAAGGACACACTCGTCCTCCAGAGACACGACGAGAGACGAGTCCGGACGGAGACCTGAGGACACAAGGACACAAGGACACAAGGAGGTGGGGACACAAGGACACGAGGAGGTGAGGAAACAAGGAGGACAGGACTGCAGAGGACACTGCACTGTAGGAGTAGAAGTAACAGTAGTAGTAGTAGTAGTAGTAGTAGTAGTAGTAGTAGTAGTAGTAGTAGTAGTAGTAGTAGTAGTAGTAGTAGTAGTAGTAGCAAGTAGTAGTAGTAGTAGTAGTAGTAGTAGTAGTAGCAGTAGCAGTAGTAGTAGCAGCAGTAGTAGTAGTAGTAGTAGTAGTAGTAGTAGTAGTAGTAGTAGTAGTAGTAGTAGTAGTAGTAGTAGTAGTAGTAGTAGTAGTAGTAGTAGTAGTAGCAGTAGTAGTAGCAGTAGTAGTAGTAGTAGTAGTAGTAGTAGTAGTAGTAGTAGTAGTAGTAGTAGCAGTAGTAGTAGTAGTAGTAGTAGTAGTAGTACCCAGCGTGGCGGCGGCGTACAGCGCCGTGGCGAGGCTGTAGTTGTCGAATTTGCCGCAGTCTCGGACGATGGCGTCGCACAGAGACAGGAAGTCCTCATGCTCCAGCGTTTGCTTCCTGTCCTTAGCCCCGCCCCCCTCCGACGCAGGGGGAGGGGCCTCAGCGGTGGTGGGCGTGGCCTCCGCTGCGGGGGGCGGAGCCGGTAACAGCTGAGCGATTCTCTGCAGCGCCACCGCCAGGTGACTCTGGGAAACTTTAGACGGATTCTGAGAAATCCACCGCAGCACCTGAAAAATATACAAATATATAAATAAAATATACACATTTATACACATATATACACCTGAAACACACATATAGTATATACAGGTATATATTTAAATAAGCCCCGCCCCCCGTCCTCTGACCTCGTCCGGGCGCCGCGAGCGTTCCAAAAGTCGTTTCATGGTGAAGAACGTGTCGTAGCTCAGGTCCTGGATGAAGCTCCAGGTCTTCTTCCGGGTTGGGGGCGGGGCTCTGCGCACGGGGGCGTGGCCGAGCTGATGATGTAACGCTGGGGGCGGGCAGTGAGGGAAAACCACGCCCATCTGCGGTTTAGGTCCGGCCCCGGCCACGCCCCCTCCGCCGCAGAGCCGGTACATCCTCAAGACCCGCCCACAGACCTGCATGATCCAGACCCCCTGGAACAGAGGAAGACCGGGTCAAGACCGGGTCTAAACCAGGACTAAACCAGTTCTAAACCAGTTCTAAACAGAGCCTAAAAAGAGTCTAAAGCAGGTCTAAACCGGGTCTAGACTGGGTCCAGACCAGGTCTAAACCAGGACTAAGACAGGACTAAACCGGGTCTAAACTGGGTCTAGACCGAGTCCAGATCGGGTCCAGACCAGGTCCAGACCAGGTCTAAACCAGGTCTGAGACAGGACTAAACCGGGTGTAAACTGGGTCTAGACCGGGTCTAGACCGGATCTAAACCAGGACTAAACTGGTTCTAAACCAAGCCTAAACAGAGTCTAAACCAGGTTTAAACCAGGTCTAAGACAGGTCTAAATGGGGTCTTAACCTGAACTGAACTGGGACAGGACCAGGACTAAACCAGGACTGAACCAGGACTACACTGTCCCCTTTTAACGTTGTCCTGTCACTGCTGTTAGCCTGTCCCCTGTCCCCTGTCCCCTGACCTCCGCGGCTCAAGTCTCTTCTGTCCCCGAGGCTGAGCTCTGGTCCCGGCTGTGGTCTGGGAGGACAGCGGGAAGACAGCGGGGGGACAGCGGGGACACTCACCTCATCTCTGTGCCTCTCGGGCTCCTGTCGGGTCCTGTCACCGGGAAACACGCGGGGGACAGTGGCTTCAGTCCTCCGTGTCCTCCGCCGTGTCCTCCGCCATGTCTCAGAGCGTCCCCTGGCGGACACACAGCTCAAGCCTCCGTGTCCCCGCGAGTGTCCACGGTCCCAGCGCTGGAGGACAGACCGGAGACACAGGCACGAGCGGAACTGTGTCCAAATCCCGAAATCCAGACCGAGTTTAAGCGTCTTTAAAGTCCAATGTCCCGTGTCCCTCTCCGGCCCCGTGTACGCATGCGCAGAGGCAAAGATGGCGGCGCGGGAGTGTGACGGATCAGGTCCTGTTCTGCCGCACGCTCTGTCCTCTGTGACGCACTGAAGGACGTCGCTTCGCCGCGTCCCCGTGAGACCGAGGCCCCGCGGACATGGCCCTCCGGTACCTGCGGCTGTCGGCGGGCTCCGGGGCCGCGCTGAGGCTCCTGCTGCGGCCGCGGGGAGGCCCGGGGAGAGCCCGCGTCCCGGTGAGTGCTAACGGCTAAAGCTAACGGCTAAAGCTAAACCTCATAGAGTGTGTGCGGGGAAGCTAAAACAGAGCTAATGCTAAAGCTAAGCCCGAGCTAATGTTAAAGCTAATGCTAAAGCTAATGACGGGGTAAACACACATGACAGGTGCAGTGACAGGGGCTGTGACAGGGGCAGTGACAGGGCAGTGACAGGTGTAAGGTGACAGGTTTAGTTTGTGTAAAACGTAAACAAATGTGTGAAAGCTGAATTCAACACATTTTTACTCAGTGTGTTCAAAGTAAGAAAAGAGGAGAACAGGAAATGTGTGTCGAGACGACCAATCACAGCTGTTGTTGTCTGCGTCAGTAATCAGAAAACCACACCCCCTCACTCTGAGACCACACCCCCTCACTCTGAGACCACACCCCCTCACTCTGAGACCACACCCCTGCAACCTGAGACCACACCCCCTCAACCTGAGACCACACCCCCTCACTCTGAGCGCATCACGTTCATATCTGGTTTAGTCCTGGTTTGGTCCTGATTCAGTCCTGGTTTACTCCTGGTTTACTCCTGGTTTAGTCCTGGTTTAGTCCTGATTCAGTCCTGGCTTAGTCCTGGCTTAGTCCTGGCTTAGTCCAGGTTTAGTCCTGGTTTAGTCCTGGTGTTTTTACCTGTGTTTTTTGTGCAGGTGTTGGTGGAGGCTGCAGGGGTGGAGCGTGTGTGGACTGAGCTGCAGAGACACATGAGCTCCCGTCCTCCTAAAGGTCAGAGCCCCTGTCGGTCCCTGTCGGTCCCTGTCTGACCCTGTCTGACCCTGTCTCTGTGTTTCAGGCTTTGAGAAGTATTTCCCTGACAGCAAAAAAAACCCAAAGACGGACGACAAGACCAGCGCCAAGAAAGGTCTGTGTAGTCCTGGTTTAGTCCCAGTTTAGTCCCGGTTTAGTCCAGGTTTAGTCCCGCTTTAGTCCCGCTTTAGTCCCGGTTTAGTGCCGGTTTAGTCCCGGTTTAGTCCCGGTTTAGTCCAGGTTTAGTCCTGGTTTAGTGCCGGACTTGAGCTCTGTGTTTTTGTTGTTTTTTCCGGTTGTTTCAGAGTCTAAAGCTGAGGAGAAGTCGAGCGGTGGAGGACCTGAAGGGGGCGGGACAGGAAGTGGAGGCGGCGGGACAGGAAGTGGAGGCAGCGGGAAACGCGGCGGGAGAAAGGAGGACTCTCATTGGTCGAGTCGGCTGCAAAAGGTCAGTTTACTTTAAAGTCACAGTACGGAACTTTTTAACCAAAACTGTGTTTTTAACATATTTTCATTCACTGCTCAGAAAATGAAAGGCAAACTGGACTTTTCTGAAATTGATCTGTATTTAGAAACGTCCTGTGAGCGAGCTCGCCTCTCCACAGACCTGACTCTGTGGGCTGTTCCTCCTCAAACTCTCCTGGAGGCTTTGTTTTGTTCATGCAGGTTTCACGTTGTGATGTCACAGGGTTATTATCTAAAACTTTATTTATTATGATCTAAATCTGTCTCTGTCCCTCTGTGTCTCTGTCTCTGTGTCTCTCTCTGTCTCTCTGTCCCTCTGTGTCTCTCTGTGTCTCTCTGTGTCTGTCCTCTGTGTCTGTGTCTCTCTCTGTCTCTCTCTCTGTGTCTCTGTGTCCCTCTGTGTCCCTCTCTCTCTCTCTCTCTCTCTGTGTCCCTCTGTCTCTCTCTGTGTCTCTCTGTCCCTCTGTCTCTCTCTCTCTCTGTGTCCTCTGTCCTCTGTCTCTGTCTCTCTGTGTCTCTGTGTCTCTCTGTCTCCTCTGTGTCTCTGTCTCTCTGTCTCTCTCTGTCTGTCTCTCTGTCTCTCTCTCTGTGTCTCTCTGTCCTCTGTCTCTCTCTCTCTCTGTGTCTCTCTGTCCCTCTGTCTCTCTCTCTCTCTCTGTGTCCCTCTGTGTCCCTCTCTCTCTCTCTGTGTCCCTCTGTGTCCCTCTCTCTCTCTCTCTGTGTCTCTCTGTCTCTCTGTCTCTCTCTCTCTCTGTGTCCCTCTGTCTCTCTCTCTCTCTCTCTGTCTCTCTCTCTCTGTGTCTCTCTGTCCTCTGTCTCTCTCTCTGTCTCTGTGTCCCTCTGTCTCTCTCTCTCTCTCTCTGTGTCCCTCTGTCTCTCTCTCTCTCTCTCTCTGTCTCTCTCTCTCTCTGTGTCTCTCTCTGTCCCTCTGTCTCTCTCTCTCTGTGTCTCTCTGTGTCCCTCTGTCTCTCTCTCTCTGTGTCTCTCTGTCTCTCTCTCTCTCTCTCTGTCTCTCTCTCTCTGTGTCCTCTGTGTCCCTCTGTCTCTCTCTCTCTGTCTCTGTGTCCCTCTGTCTCTCTCTCTGTGTCTCTGTGTCCCTCTGTCTCTCTCTCTCTGTGTCCCTCTGTCTCTCTCTGTCTCTCTCTGTCTCTCTCTCTCTGTGTCTCTCTGTGTCCCTCTGTCTCTCTCTCTCTCTGTGTCCCTCTGTCTCTCTCTCTCTCTGTGTCCCTCTGTCTCTCTCTCTGTGTCTCTCTGTGTCCCTCTCTCTCTGTGTCCCTCTCTCTCTCTCTGTGTCTCTCTGTCTCTCTCTCTGTGTCTCTGTGTCCCTCTGTCTCTCTCTCTCTCTGTGTCCCTCTGTGCCTCTCTGTCCCTCTGTCTCTCTCTGTGTCCCTCTGTCTCTCTCTGTCTCTCTCTGTGTCTCTGTGTCCCTCTGTCTGTCTCTCTCTGTCTCTCTGTCCCTCTGTGTCCCTCTGTCTCTCTCTGTGTCCCTCTGTCTCTCTCTGTGTCTCCTCTCTGTGTGTCTCTGTGTCCCTCTGTCTCTGTGTCCCTCTGTCTCTCTCTCTGTGTCTCTCTGTGTCCCTCTGTCTCTCTGTGTCCTCTCTGTGTCCCTCTGTCTCTTGTCTCTGTGTCCCTCTGTCTCTCTCTGTGTCCTCTGTGTCCCTCTGTCTCTCTGTCTCTCTGTGTCTCTCTGTGTCCCTCTGTCTCTCTCTCTGTCTCCTCTGTGTCCCTCTGTCTCTCTCTGTGTCCCTCTGTCTCTCTCTCTGTGTCTCCTCTGTGTCCTCTGTGTCCCTCTGTCTCTCTCTCTCTGTGTCTCTCTCTGTCTCTCTCTGTGTCCCTCTGTCTCTCTCTCTCTGTGTCCCTCTGTGTCCCTCTGTCTCTCTCTGTGTCTCTCTCTGTGTCTCTCTGTGTCTCTCTCTGTCTCTGTGTCTCTCTGTGTCCCTCTGTGTCTCTCTGTCTCTCTCTGTGTCTCTCTGTGTCTCTCTGTGTCCCTCTGTGTCCCTCTGTGTCCCTGTGTCTCTCTGTGTCCCTCTGTGTCTCTCTGTCTCTCTCTCTCTGTGTCTCTCTGTGTCCCTCTGTCTCTCTCTCTGTCTCTGTCTCTCTCTGTGTCCCTCTGTGTCCCTCTGTCTCTCTCTGTGTCTCTCTGTGTCCCTCTGTCTCTCTCTCTGTCTCTGTCTCTCTGTGTCTCTCTCTGTCTCCTCTGTGTCTCTCTGTGTCCCTCTGTGTCTCTCTGTGTCTCTGTCTCTGTCTCTCTGTCTCCTCTCTGTCTCTGTCTCTCTCTGTGTCCCTCTGTGTCCTCAGGGCGAGGTCCCGTGGGACGACAGAGAGTTCCGTCTGTACCTGCTCAGCGGCGCCGCCTTCTGGATGACCGTGGGGTACTACTTCCTGTGGAGGGACGGGGGCCGCGAGGTCACCTGGAAGGACTTCGTCAACAACTTCCTGTCCAAAGGCGCGGTGAGTGTGCGCGCCGTTAAAGCTCTAGTGCGGAACATGTGCGCGGAGACGTCAGCCCTTCCAGCGCGACCCGACCGTTTCAGAAAACCAACCGGAAGTTTCCAAAAATAAAAGACACAAACTGGCTTTTCTCCCCCGTGAAGAGCCGAGAGTCGTGTTTTTCCGAGCAGATTTCCGGCGTTTTCGTCTGTCGCTCGCCGCGGGAAAACGGCGGGAAAACGAGCGTCCAATCGGAAATTTGTTTTCATCTAAACTCCGACCTTTTCTGTCTCAGGTGGAGCGTCTCGAGGTCGTCAACAAACGCTACGTCAAAGTGGTGTTCAGCCCCGGGAAGACCCCAGTGGACGGAGTGAGTCCTGGTTTAGTCCTGGTTTAGTCCTGGTTTAGACCTGGTTTAGACCTGGTTTAGTCCTGGTTTAGACCTGGTTTAGTCCTGGTTTAGACCTGGTTTAGACCTGGTTTAGTCCTGGTTTAGTCCTGGTTTAGTTCTGGTTCTGGTTTAGTCCTGGTTTAGTCCTAGTTTAGTTCCTGGTTTTAGTTTAAGTCCTAGTTTAGTTCTGGTTTAGTCCTGGTTTAGTCCTGGTTTAATCCTGGTTTAGTTCTGGTTTAGTCCTGGTTTAGTTTTGTCCTGGTTTAGTCTTGGTTTAGTCCTAGTTTAGTTCTGGTTTAGTCCTGGTTTAGTTCTGGTTTAGTCCTAGTTTAGTTCTGGTTTAGTCCTAGTTTAGTTCTGGTTTAGTCCTTGTTTAGTCCTGGTTTAATCCTGATTTAGTTCTGGTTTAGTCCTGGTTTGGTTCTGGTTTAGTCCTAGTTTAGTTCTGGTTTAGTCCTAGTTTAGTTCTGGTTTAGTCCTGGTTTAGTCCTGGTTTAATCCTGGTTTAGTCCTAGTTTTGTTCTGGTTTAGTTCTGGTTTAGTCCTGGTTTAGTTCTGGTTTTGTCCTGGTTTAGTCCTGGTTTAGTTCTGGTTTAGTCCTGGTTTAGTCCTGGTTTAGTTCTCTTCTCTTGCAGTTGTTCGTGTGGTTTAACATCGGAAGCGTCGACACGTTCGAGAGGAACCTGGAGTCGGCGCAGAACGAACTCGGGATCGAATCTGAGAACCGGGTCCCCGTGGTGTACAGCAGCGAGAGCGACGGGTGAGAGACGGCTGGTTTAGTCCTGGTTCAGTCCTGGTTTAGTCCCGGTTCAGTCCTGGTTTAGTCTTGGTTCAGTCCTGGTTCAGTCCCGGTTCAGTCCTTGGTTCAGTCCTGGTTCAGTCCTGGTTCAGTCCTGGTTCAGTCCCGGTTTAGTCCCGGTTCAGTCCTGGTTTAGTCTTGGTTCAGTCCTGGTTCAGTCCCGGTTTAGTCCCGGTTCAGTCCTGGTTTAGTCTTGGTTTAGTCCCGGTTCAGTCCTGGTTCAGTCCCGGTTCAGTCTTGGTTTAGTCCTGGTTCAGTCCTGGTTCAGTCCTGGTTTAGTCCTGGTTCAGTCCTGGTTCAGTCCTGGTTCAGTCCTGGTTCAGTCCTGGTTTAGTCCTGGTTTCAGTCCTGGTTCAGTCCCGGTTTAGTCCCGGTTCAGTCCTGGTTTAGTCTTGGTTCAGTCCTGGTTCAGTCCCGGTTTAGTCCCGGTTCAGTCCTGGTTTAGTCCCGGTTCAGTCCTGGTTCAGTCCCGGTTCAGTCTTGGTTTAGTCCTGGTTCAGTCCTGGTTCAGTCCTGGTTTAGTCCTGGTTCAGTCCTGGTTCAGTCCTGGTTCAGTCCTGGTTTAGTCCTGGTTCAGTCCTGGTTCAGTCCCGGTTTAGTCCCGGTTCAGTCCGGTTAGTCTGGTTTCAGTCCTTGGTTCAGTCCCGGTTTAGTCCCGGTTCAGTCCCGGTTTAGTCCCGGTTCAGTCCCGGTTCAGTCCCGGTTCAGTCTTGGTTTAGTCCTGGTTCAGTCTGGTTCAGTCCTGGTTTCAGTCCTGGTTCAGTCCCTGGTTCAGTCCCGGTTCAGTCAGTCCTGGTTCAGTCCTGGTTCAGTCCTGGTTTCAGTCCGGTTCAGTCCTGGTTCAGTTCAGTCCTGGTTCAGTCCTGGTTCAGTCCTGGTTCAGTCCTGGTTCAGTCCTGGTTCAGTCCTGGTTCAGTCCTGGTTTAGTCCTGGTTCAGTCCTGGTTCAGTCCCGGTTCAGTCCTGGTTTAGTCCCGGTTCAGTCCTGGTTCAGTCCCGGTTCAGTCCTGGTTTAGTCCCGGTTCAGTCCTGTTTTAGTCCTGGTTCAGTCCTGGTTCAGTTCCAGTTCAGTCTTGGTTTAGTCTTGGTTCAGTCCTGGTTCAGTCCCGGTTCAGTCCTGGTTCAGTCCCGGTTCAGTCCCGGTTTAGTCCTGGTTCAGTCCCGGTTCAGTCCTGGTTTAGTCCTGGTTCAGTCCTGGTTTAGTCCTGGTTAGTCCTTCAGTCCCGGTTCAGTCCTGGTTTCAGTCCCGGTTCAGTCCTGGTTCAGTCCCGGTTCAGTCCTGGTTTAGTCCCGGTTCAGTCCTGGTTTAGTCCTGGTTCATTCTGTGTGTTCTGCAGGACGTTCATACTGAGCATGCTCCCCACGGCGCTCATCATTGGTTTCCTGTTGTTGATGCTGCGGCGGGGGCCGGCGGGGGGGCGCCCGGGGCGGGGCGTGGGCGGACTCTTCAGCGTCAGCGAGACCACGGCCAAAGTCCTGAAGGAACAGATCGACGTCAAGTTTAAAGTGAGTCTGACCAGAGAAAATAAATGTGAAAATATGACGACGTCACACTGATGACGACGTCACACTGACGACGACACACTGATGACGACGTCACACTGATGACGACGTCACACTGATGACGACGACACACTGTCACACTGACGACGACGTCACACTGACGACGACGTCACACTGACGACGACGTCACACTGACGACGACACACTGATGATGAAGTCACACTGACGACGACGTCACACTGACGACGACACACTGATGATGAAGTCACACTGACGACGACGTCACACTGACGACGACGTCACACTGACGACGTCACACTGATGACGACACACTGATGATGAAGTCACACTGATGATGAAGTCACACTGATGATGACGTCACACTGATGACGACACACTGATGACGACGACACACTGATGACGACACACTGATGACGACGTCACACTGACGACGACGTCACACTGACGACGACGTCACACTGACGACGTCACACTGATGACGACGTCACACTGATGACGATGTCACACTGACGCCGTCACACTGATGATGAAGTCACACTGATGATGAAGTCACACTGATGACGACGTCACACTGATGACGACGTCACACTGATGACGATGTCACACTGACGCCGTCACACT